CTAGTATTTCCCCCCCCCCCCCCCCGCCAACTAGCCATGTTATGTTTGAAAGAAAGATCAGGACCATGCTAGACACCAGCCTAACAGAGGTGGTGAAGAAGCTATAGTATATTCCTCCATGGGGGAGGTACAGGTAACTATTATGTCCAAAGTCCCTATCTGGTTAAATCTGCTGAAGGCAAGCTAGTCACACAGAGCAACCTGGATCATCTGAAAAAGCCGATGACAAGCTAAAAACCACACACCACAAAAAACACATACCTAGGAATGAAAAATGAAGGTTATACCTACAGAATGGGGAAGACACATTCTGGAAGGCAGAAACTAAAGGAAACTTTTAGATTCCTTTTAGAAAATGGTTCAGGGGCTGGGGCACATGACTTGAGAGAGGCCGAGGGAACTGGGCTTTTTTACTCTAGAAAAGAGATGACTGAGGGGGAATTGAATAGCAGCCTTCAACTCTCTGCAGGGTGGCTGCAAAGAGGATGGAGCTGGACTGTGCTCAGTGGGGGCAGATGACAGAACAAGGAGCAATGGGCTCAAGTTGCAGCAAGGAAAGTTGAAGTTAGATATTAGGAAAAAAAAAATTTTCTTACTAGGAAGGTAATAAAAACACTGGAACAAGTTACTCAGGAGGTGGCGGACTCTCCATCCTTGGAGGTTTTCAAGATGTGGCTGGACAAAGTCTTGGCTGGGATGATCTAGTTGGGGTTGGTCCTGCTTTGAGCAGGGGGTTGGACTAGATGCGACCTCCTGGGAGTCCCTTCCAGCCCTTGTTTTCTATGATTTTAAGTCTAGCCTAGCACTGGACTGAAACTCTTTCCTGCAGTAGATGTTTTGGACAAACACAAAAATACCCTTTCCTTTTCATCCAAGTTTTACAATGTTCATTTCCAAACTCTGACAAAATCCTTGAAGTCTTCAGATGAAACCTTTCAACAGAAATTCAACTATATAGCACTCTTTGAAAAGACAGCATTTGTGCTAAAATGTCATTCTTCTCCCTGTTAAGAAGAGAGAGAATAGATAGAGCGTGGTCTGCTGACATTAAAGGGATTATAGCAAGTGACTCCAAAGGAGCTTACAGGACAATGGCGTGGCAAAGAGGGCTTGTGCTCTCCTTGAATGCACATGAATGGGAGTACAGAGTCTGGGAAGGGAGGCAATTGTACCTGCACTGTGTTGGCAAGACCATAATAATCCAATGTGCAAACTTTGAAGGGAAGACTAAATTAGAGATAGGGAGGAAACATAGCATGAGTTTAAATCATAAGGAAGATCATGCTAAACTGGATATTTTCTATGATAAATGCATTGGGCTTTCTACATAAGAAATATACTGTAGATCTAATCTATGAGGACTTCAGTAAAGTATTTGTATGCTGCCTCATAGGAAATGAATTAAACTAGAGAAAAATCAGTATTAGTACAAGAAGCATTTGGTAAGTAAGGGACTGGGCAAAGAGAAGTAGTCAAGGGGTTGTTTAAAAAGGGGGAGAAAGCAGCTGGTGGGAGGGTACTAGAAAAGTTCAAGAATCAGACTTGAGACATCTTATTTAATTTAATTAAATGACCTTGGCAGAAAATGTAGTCCTGCAGTAACAATATTTGCTGATGACACAGCAGCATAGGGAGGGGGCGGGTGGAGGGAAAGAGGCCAGTAACATAACAGAGGAGGCTTGGGCAACCAGAATAAATAGAAATAGGATGAAATCTAACAGCATAAAATGGGAGGTTGCGCACTTACAGATTAACAGGAGTTCCTAGTTTCTAGCAGTAGTGTTGGAGTGATGTTGCAGCTGTGCTGGTCCAGGAGTTTAAAAAAAGCATGTCTTGCATTCAAAACCTTGTCCAACTCCATCCCAACTACACTGCTGGTCCAATAAAAGATATCACCTGAAGAATTCCTTGCCTCTCAGCTGATTATAAAAAGCTATCAGCTGGGATGGGGGAGGAGGAGCAGGAGACTTAGTTGTGTTAACCGGTCATAGGATAATTGCAAGCCACCAAACATGAATATGGAGGCAAGACATTTCTAGTTGCGATAGACAAGCATTAAAGCCATAAGGTTTTTAGGAAGTCTCATCTGGGATGGCTTGGGCAATTATGGTTGCCAGTGTTCAAGAGAAATGAATTCAAATTGGGACACGTGCACATCGTAGTAGCACAATCAGAGAAATGAAGACTTCTTTTACAATGAGAGCCTGAAGCCTCCTTGCCGTCGAGCCTGGCAAAATGCTTGTTTTCTGCAACTACATAGAGGAAATAAATACCAGCATGGGAAGACCGAGAGAGTTATTTAAGCTAAAGGTCACTGTTGGCACAAGAAAAAAAAAATGGGCATGAAGTGGCCTGGAATAAATATAGGCTGGAAATTAGAAGGTTTCCAACCAAAGGAGTGAGGTTCTGGAAGAGCCTTCCAATAGAAATAGTACAGACCAGAAACCTCACTGGTTTCAAGACAGAGCTTGGTAAATTCATGAATGGAGTTACAGGACATCTGCTGAAGGGTGGAAACAACAACACAGATTTACCTTCCTAAAAGCAGACCAAACTGTCCTAAAACTTCTGCCTCTTCAAAGGATGTATTCAGTTGCCTCAATATTTGGGAGCAATAATGCCCATGCATGCAGTGCTCAGGGGGAAAAAAAGTACTAAACATTTCTAAGCTCTTGCAAAAGTAGCCAACCTGTCAAAAAATAGTATCAGCCCTAGTGCAAATATCCAATCATTCCCTTGACTCCAATAAGATTGTTTGATCACCAGCATAATGCTCCTTGCACCCACAAAGCAAAATTTTACATGGCTGCAATACGTTCGCAGGAAAAAGTAGGAAGAGCAGGTTAGCAATGCAGTGCCTGGCCCTACACATCATTACAATCCTTTGCCTTAATTTTTTGGAGCATGCTTAAACACTCATTTTTCCCCAAGCCAGTTTACTGCTTTGCACAGCTATTGACCTAGATCCTTCTGACATCCTACTTCTGCCAAGGACTTGGCTCCATCAGCATGGGAGGTACTCATTTAAGTAGGGGGTCGATTTTAATTTTCCAAATTGATTAGCAGTTTTGGACTCTGACACAAGTTGGAGTGGGATTTATGTTTCTTCCGAGCCAGCCTGGACTGGAACTTGAAGACAAATGTGAAGTACATTTATGTTAATTGAGGCAAATGAAGCCCTGCCGTTAAGAGTCTCAGGTCGGCACAGCCCAGCTCAGCCTGTTTACGTTTGCAGTGAGTAAGTTAGAAACAATGAGAAAGTGTTTCTTTCCTCGCAATGCCATCATTATTACACTAAGGGTATTGATGGCTCAGTTTCCATGGAAACACATGTCTGCCAATTCCATCCTACCAACGGAGAACAGTTAGAAGCTGAAGGAGCTATTCATCACCATTTAGCGAAACGGGACGAAGGAACTCTTGCCTCCTGCCAGGTCTCCGAAACGCTCCAGCAGGATATGGATGGCGTTATCGGTAAAGCCAGCTAATAGCGCATAAGGCAGGTGAGCAAATCCATCATGGTTACAAAACACCCTTCACAGGGCAATCATACCAAGAATAAATTACTCCTGAAGATGCAGTGAACTCATGCTCGCTAGAAGAGAAAGCCAACTTAGTGTCTCAGCCTGCTGCATCATATTCTTACAAAGAGAAAGAGTTGTTGTTACGTTCAGGACAAGAGGGAGGATGAGACTGCCAGGCCAGTCCTGATCTCATCCTGGGGGAAGAATTAGGAGTAACGAAGATTAAGGTCGCAGTTATACTGGTGTGAATGAGCGCCGAGGGCTACTGGGCCTCCTTTTGGTCCTTGTGTCTACCCTTGCCACGTGCTACTTTGACCGCCTCTTCAGCCCCTGTGTCCATCTACCCCCTTCCATGGACACCAGCTTTCACCCCTTTCCCACTGCCCTGCCTGCACAACATGCTTGTCACATCACACTTGACTCCCATGCCCAAGTCCTCCTACCAAGCTCAGTCCCATTCTTGCCACCCCAGCAGCGACCTCCCCCGGCTCCCAGGAGCAGTATTTTGGGGACAGCCTTGGGACTGCATGGCCATTGACTAGTCAATGTGAGCCACAGGGGCAGAGTTCCTGAACACAGTGCAGCTAGAATACACCAAATAAAGTGGGAGTACACATAACCCTATGCAACAGACAGTGTTTTCATGACCTCTCACTCAACAGCCCTACCCCTCACTATGCACCTTGTATTGTCCATGGGCCCGATTCTGGAAACATTTGTTAGAGGGCATCATGCTTACTGCACAACAAGCATCTCTAAAGTCATCAGGCCTCTCGAGGTAATGCGTAGAAGTTCACAATCTAGGGCCCTGCTCATGGGAACTCTGGACAGCATCTCAAAGAATCCTCATGGGGTATCTGGTCCAACTCCCTGCACAAATGCTATCCCTAAATCATTTTGATCTAATGCTTATCCAGCCTCCCTTTGAAAACTTCCAAATGAGGAGGATTTTACAGTTTCACTGTTCTAACAGTAAGGAAGGTTGTGTTCTTCCATTGCAAGCCATGTTACATAAACCATGAGAAATATCCTCAGTGATGCTTCAGCCCCCATTATTACAGTATAAGAGGTAAGGTATGACCACCCAAAACCCAAAAATTCCAAAATGCAACTCTTAGCAGCTATTATGGGAGCCAAGAAAGCTTAACTAGTTTGGAGTGACTTATAGCATTAAGGCAGCTCTGTGGAAGCGTCACTAGGACAGATCCCATGAATAGGCTCACCAGAAGTAAAGCTCATCCAAAAAAAGGTTTACTAAAACACTTCTTCCCTCCTGACATACTGAGGCTGCCAAGGGGTACATTTCTATGAGCAGCATACCTACAGCTCCCTCTGAATTTTGGATTTCAGGGGACTGAGACCTAGAGAAGGTGGATTTGTCAGTTTTTATTTGGGCTGAAATAGCATCAGTCAGGGATCCTGGTTTTGTCCATTTAAAATAAATAAAATCACAAGTTCTCTGATACAAAAATTGCAAATTCTCCAATTTAAAACCCCCAAATCCGCAATTAAAACGAAACAACACACACACACACACAATTTTATTGATACATTTACAATTTTAAAGCAATTTGGAAGTCTACCAGTGCCTCAATCACTATAATCAAAGAAATTGTACCTTTAAGATTTTGGTAATCGATTTTTGGGTCTTTAATCATGGAACAGTCAGAGCTCCCCCTGCCCCCTTCGTTCACCAGGGCACAGATCTGTTGCCCTTTCCCCAGAGCCTCCACAGCCCAGTGGGCAAGACCCGGTGCAGCTGGGCAGAGTGTGGACAAGTGGGAAAGCTCATGACTGCCGATGGGAGCTCCATGCTGCCTTAACCAGGCACCCCTTGCCTTCCCGGCAGCAGTGAGGGGCACAACTCTGCAACCCCAGCCCCACTGCTGCCAGGCGGGCAGAGGTGGCTTCGCCAAGGTGGGGTAGGAGTCCTGGGGCGGCAGTGAGCTTCCCTGCCTTGCCATGCTGGCTCCCATTTATTGAGCCATGGAGGCCCTGGCATGGAGGGCAGCATGGTTGGGAGCCCAAGCCCACAGACAGCTCACCCCACCTTGCACACCTTGTCCCTCCACAGAAGTGCACACAGCAGTGGGGAGCCAGCCCCCCAAACCCTTCAGATGAGCTGTCCACGGTCCTGTCCTGCTCCCTGGCCGGGCTCTGCAGCCGTGGATGCCAGCCCCCAGGCCCGAAGCCCTACATGCCGCCCGGCTGTAGAGCAGCCCCTGCCCTGCCCAAGTTCCTCTCTCCAAGGACCTCAATCCCCACCAGACTTACCTGCAGGAGCTGCTCTCCAGGCTGCCTGGTGGCTGTGTGCATGTGCAAGTGCCCCCCTGCCTGACCACCCTCCTCCCTTCCCCCAGCTTCTTGCAGGCTGGAACTCTGCCCACCTGCAGAGAGCTCTTTACAAACTGGGCACTTCTCCCTTAAAATGAGAAATCTGCCTTTTCTCCATTAAAAGGACAAAGCCATGTTGTTTTCTGTTTTTCCGTGGGAAATGGAAAACCTGCATCCCCAATCATCACTTTGGAACAGGGGGACCTGACATTTCACAGCATGACAACCACAGGTTAAAACGAGGGCGTCAAACTCACCCCATGCCTTGGTCAGATCTGGACTGCGGGGCTCCATGTGGGCCAGATCCAGCCCTGGACACGAGGAAGCATGTCCAACCCTGGCTCCGACAGGGAGCGTGCAGTGGTGACCGGCAGCTGGGGAGGCGAGGCTGCAACAGTCACAACAGGCAAAGTAGCCGGAGTGGTAAGGGCTGCATTAGCCCTCACTCGGCCTCCTGCCACCGACAGCCATGTCCAGCAGGGCTGAGGGCCCCGATCCAATAGCAGGACATGTCCCCAGCCACACCCCATGCTGGCAGCCTATGCTGGTGGTCCAGCAGGCTGGACAGAGCAGCTTTGCAGCCATACATTTGACAGCCCTGAATGCAAAAGAACCCATTCATCACCTTGCAATGCCAGACAGCTGAATAAGTCCGAGTGCCATCGATAGGTTCCAGGTATCACTGTACCAAGTATGGCCTGTTCACCCAGTAGTACAGTTTTTAAAGAGTCAGCTTGCACCGAGTATGGACCCCCTTCTCTTCAACAGGGTTCAGAAGAATCTGTTTTAGCGCCCCCCCCGCCAAGAGTTACCTGCAATTCCAAATGTTCTGAGGCTCTTTCAGCTTTGAAGCCTTTATAAAAGAGGCATACCATTGCCTTTTGGGGGGTGGGGGTGGAGAGGAGCTAAGGTGGGTCTGAAATCATGTCTCTTAGGCTTTAAAGTCTCTCCAGGCTCATGACCCCACCTTTCCCAGTGGAGCATGTGCCCCTACACCCACATGGTGACCCCACTTGGGGTCAGGACTCCTAGTTTGGGTACAGCTCCTTCCTGCGGAAGGTAAAGTTATTTCCCCAATTTGCTCTGCCCACAGCACCCTTCCTCTTGGCTCCCCACCTGTTTGAATCCCTGCTGTCTGGATTCAAACATGAGCTGCTTGTCTTCACCTGGGAGGCTCTGATGCCTATTCTCACCCTGGCTCTCAGCACAGAGGTCAGCGTAGGGTCCCAGTCTCCAGCCAGGCAGCACCCCCCTGCCATTGGCACAGGGAGCTCCCTGTAAGCACCTGTGAAGCTGCCTTGTTCTCCTTCCAATCCCTCCTTAAAAACACTTTGCCAGGACAACAAGAAAACTTAACAAGGGTTAGGCAGCTGGCATCCGGAGATAACCACCTGGTTTGCATCATACCAACAAAGATGTCTCATTGTTTCTTTGTTCTCCTCCATCAGTGACTTCTTGTTTTATATGTAGATCATAAGCTCCACAGGGCAGAGGCTGTTGTTTTGTTGCATGTGTAGACAGACTCGAGCACAATGGGCTTTGTAGGAATTACAGTTACAAGATAATAAGGAAGCCCAGACTCCAATGTAAACCAAAGACAAAACTCTCATTCACCTCACTGGGGCTGGGCTTTCACCCAGGATCAATGCTTACAAAGATCCAGCCAAAGCTTACAAAGATCCAGCCTTTTCTGGTGGTTTGACTGCACCCGCTTTATTTAAGAGCAATCCCCAGGGTCTGATATTATATCTATTATCTAGAAAAAAAAAGTCATTGCCACTACAAGTGCAAGTTGTAGATCTGGCTTGCCCGGTACAAAGGTATGCCTAGAAGCAAGGACACAAGTTGCGCGTGCAGGATGTGGGACCCGAATGCAAGAATAAAAGGAATTTGTCTACACTGCTAACTTACCATGGCATACTGAAAACACGCCGCACCAATCAGCACATGCTACCTCTGAAACAGGAGGAAAATCGCACCGCTGTCTGAGTGGCGCTGCACCGGGGTGAATACACTGTGCCTCTAAGCAGAGGTAACGAGCCAGCTTGGGCCACGACACTTCCATGGCTCCTCGTTAGCTGGGGACAGCCTGCATGAAGCAGCGTGTGGGCTGTTTCTGTCAGATGCAGAAAAAGCATCAGCAGCAGAGATGTCCCCTCAACACCCTGAGCTCCCCAACCAAAGACACCCGATGCAACCATGCTTGGATGCACAGACAGGAAAACATCCAAGAAAAGGCAAGTCACATTTCTGCGCTGGGCACCACTGCCAGAACGCTGCGCCCAGATTTCAACGGCTGCGATCACCGGGAGACAGTTCAGAGAGGCACAAAACTGATGAAGTCCTGGAAAGCCTGGCTTTACGTGATGGGTCCCGGGTGCTCAGTCTGTTCAGCTCATCACAGGCGGACAGAGTAGCTGAGCCAGGAGAGTTTCCACAGCTCATCATGCAGAAGGACAGGGGCTGCTCTGAAGCCCTTCCAGGTACGGAGGGACAGAAACGGCTTCAGCCGAGCCGGCGAGGGCACGAGCAGACCCCGCCGCTGGAAACTGAAACTAGACAAATTCAAGCGAGGAGCACGGCACAGATGCAGGAAAGAAGGGGACCCGTTAACCACGCGAGCGGCTCACAGGAGCTCGCGCGCAGCCAGTTCCCCATCTGCGGAAGGCTTTAAACCACGTTTGTTTAAAAAGCCAGGGGCTAGTTCAAAAAAGAATTAGATGCACCAAGCCAGGCGAGCGAAGCAGGGCATCGGCCACAGGCCACACGAGGGGCTGAGCACGGGACAGGGACCAGTGCAGAGGAGAAGGGACCCGCGGCGGCGGCACAGCGCTGAGGGGAGAAGTTTCCGCCCGGCCTGGAGACGCAAGGATCCCCCCGCCGCTCCCCGCTCACCTGGCCCAGGTTGCCGTAGCCGTAGGCGGCCGCCAGCCTCGCCGCCTCGCCCGGGCCGCCCGGCACCCGCACGGCCCAGTGGTTGGTGTAGACGGGCCGCGCCAGGCAGGCGGGCAGCGCCAGCAGCAGCAGC